AGCCAGGTGGCATCATTGATGGACTCAGGTGTGGCAGTGGTAGTGAGGTTGGCCCAGGATCGAACATTGTTTCGTTCTGCTATGCATAGGGTCGCTATGAGTCGATTCCGACTCGATGGCACCTGACAACAACAACAACAAAGTAAAAGAACACCATTCATATGTCAGTTTGTATGATGCTATGATGCTAAAAACTGTGCCACTGGTATTCAAAATGTCAGTAGGACCACCCATGGTGGACAGGATTTAGCAGAGCTTCCAAATTAAGAAAGAGTAAGTAGGAAGGAAAGTTGGAACACTTCTGAAAGAGTAGCCATTGAAAACCATATAAATAGCAGTGAATAGGGCCAGAAGATGAGCCCCTCAGACTGAAAGGCGCCCAAAGTACAACTGTTGAAGAACTGTCTCCACAAAGTGAAGTGACCTTGATAACATGGATAGAGCAAACCTTTCAGGACCTTCTCAAAATGAGAATTAATACCTATAAAAATCCATTAATAATCACAACATGGACTATAAGAAGTATGAATCTAAAAAAGCTGTTGTTTGGTGCCACTGAGTTGTTTCCAAGTCATAGTGATCCTGTGTAGGGTTTTCGAGAAGAGCCTGGTAGGTTTGAATCACCTACCTCGTGGTTAGCAGTCCAGTGCTTATACTACAGTGCCACACAGAAAGTTATCAAAAATGAAACTGAATGCATAAAGATCGATATCCTACATATTAGTGACCTGAAATAGATTAGTAATGGCCATTTTTAATCAGACAATCACATGGTTTACCATGCCAGGAATGATACACTGAAGAGAAATGGCATCACATTCATCATTAAAAAGAGCATTTCAAGGTCTATCTTGAAGTACAATACTGTCTGTGATAGGATGAGATACATATACCTACAAGGAAGGCCAATCAATACAACTTTTTTTTCAAATTTACGCATCTACCACTAAAGCCAATGATGATGAGACTGAAGAAATCTACCAACTTCTTCAGAGTACTGGTGTGGCACTGCGGGTTAAGGCTCTGGAACGCAAAGTCGATTTGAATCACAAGGTCGGCAGTTCAAGCTTACCAGCCACTTCTTGGAAACCCTATACAGGGTCACTTAGCTTCGGAAGTGACTGAATGGCACTTATCAAGAACAAGCAACTTCTTCAGTCTGAAACTGATCAAATATGCAATTAAGAAGCAGTGATAATTACTTGTGATTGGAATGCACATGTTGGGAACAAAGATAATGAATGGGTAGTTGGAAAATATGGCCTTGGTGACAGAAACAATGCAGATCACATGATACAATTTTCAAGACCAGTAACTTATTCATGGCTAATACCTTTTTCCAACATACAGATGACTATATATACATGGACCTAACTAGATGAAATACACAAGAATCAAACTTACTACATCTGTGGCAAGAGATAATGTTCTAGAAGCTCAGTTTCATTAACCAAAACAAGGGCAGGTGCCAATTGTGAAACAGACCATCAATTGCTTTTATGCAAGTTCAGGATGAAGCTGAAGAAAATCAAACTAGTCCTCAAGAGCTAAAATATGACCTTGAGTAAATCCCACCTGAATTTAGAGACCATTTCAAAAAGACATATTATACATCAGACACTAAGGATTGAAAACCAGAGGAGTTGTCGGAGAACATAATGAATACCATACATGAAGAAAGAAAAAGATCATTAAAAACAGGAAAGAACTAAAAGACCAAAATGGATTTCAAAAGAGACTCTGAAACTTGCTCTGAATGTACAGAAGCAAAGCAAATGGGAGAAATGATGAGGTAAGAGAGCTGAACAGAAAATTGCAAAGGGCAACTCCAGAAGACAAAGAAAAGTATTAAAATGAAATGTGCAAAAACATGGATTAGAAAGCCAAAGGGAAAACCATTCTCAGCATTTCTCAAGCTGATAGAACTTAAGAAAAAAGTCACACCTCAGGATGCAATATTGAAGGACTCTATGGGCAAAACCAGTAGCACCACAACTAGTGGTACACCTGAGTTCTAGAGGATGGGCCGTCAACAATGCCAAACTGCAAGTCCCTGGATCATATGTCAAATTCTTGAGTATTACATGTTGGACTTCTGGTATGGGGCAGTAGGATCAGCACTGGGCTGCAAACCACATGGTGGGCAGTTCACACCTACCAGTTGCTCCCTGGAAACCCTATACAGGGTTGCTAATGAGTCGGAACCGACTCTATGGCACTTAACAACAACAACATGGGCAAAATACTGAATGATACAGAAAGCATCAAAAGAAGATGGAAGGGATACACAGTGTCACTGTAGCATAATGAACTGGCTCAACCATTTCATAAGGTAACATATAATCAAAAATCAGTGGTATTAAAAGAAGTCCAAGCTACACTGGAGGCACTGGCCAAAAACAAGTCTCCAATAACTAATGGAATACAAATTGAAATGTTTCAACAAAATGATGCAGTGTTAGAGGTATTCACTAGTCTAAGCCAAGAAATTTTGAAGATAGCTACCTCACAAACCAATGGAAGAGATTCATATCTGTGCCCATTCCAAAGAAAAATGATCTGATGGAATGTGGAAACCATTAAACATCATTAATATCACATGTAAATAAAATTTTGCTGGATGTAATAGCATAGTGGTTACGAATCGGTCTGCGAACCTTAAGGTCAGCGGTTCGAAACTACCAGCTGCTCCGCGGGAGAAAGATGAGGCTTTCTACTCCCGTAAAGATTTACACCCTCGGAAACCCTGTACAGGGTCGCTATGGGTCGGACCCGACTCGACGGCACTTAACAACAACAACAACAAAAGGAGTACATTAACAGGGAGGTGGCAGAAATTCAATACAAATTCAGAAGAAGATGTGGAACTAGGGATATCATTGCTATTATCAGATAGACCTTGGTTGAAAACAGAATATTGGAGAGATATTTACTTGTGCTTCATTGATTCTGCAAAGGCTTTCAACTGTGTGGATCATAAAAAACTATGGATAACATTGGAAAGAATGGGAATTCCAGAAACCTTAATTGTGCTCATGAAGAGCCTGTACATAGACCAAGAGGCAGTCATTCAACCAGAACAAGGGAATACTGCTTGGTTTAAAATCAGGATAGGTGTGCATCAGGATTGTATCCTTTACCATATTTGTTAAATCTATATGCTAAGCAAATAATCCGAAAAGCTGGATTATATAAAGAAGAATGTGGCATCAGGATTGGAGGAAGACTCAATGACAACCCACGATATGCAGATGACATAACCTTGTTAGATGAAAGTGAAAAAGACTTGAAATATTTATTGATGAAGACCAAAGACTACAACCTTCAGCATTGATTGCACCTCAGTGTAAAGAAAACAAAAATCCTTACAACTGGACCAATAAATAACAACATGATATATGGAGAAAAGATAGAAATTGTCAGACTTCATTTTGTTTAAATCCACAATCAGCACTCAATGGAAGCAGCAGTTAAGAAATCAAAGGATGTACTGCATTACATCCTTTGTAAATCTGATACACAAGACCTCCTTAAAGTCTTCAAGAGTAAAAATGTCACTTTGACGACTAAGTTGCACCAGACTCAAGTCATGGTATTTCCAATCGTCTCATAGGCACGTAAAAGTTGGACAGTGAACAAGGAAGACTGTAGAAGCCAAAATAGCGAGACTTGGTTTCTAGTACTTGGGACATGTCAGTAAAGACCAGTCCCTGGTAACTCCATCATGCTTGGTAAATGGAGGGTCAGAGATAAAGAAAACCCTCAATGAGATGGGAGTGACACAGTGGCAACAACAATGGACATAAACATAACAAGTGTTAGGATGGCACAGTATATCTTTCTGTTATGCATGAGTAGCTATGAATTGAAATACACCCCAGAGCACCTAAAAACAAGTAAAAGAAGTCAATCTGAAAAAGCAACATAGTAATGGATGCCAAATATAAAACATTCTGGTATGGCTATGCTATAGAGAAGGTGAAAAGCTGTGTTGGTGCAACTAGGTGGCATGAATAGGTGCAGAACAGGGAATTTTCAGGGCAGCGAAACTATTCTATATGTTACTGCAATGGTGGACACATGTCATTAAATGTCTGTCAAAAACTCATAGAGGGAGCTTGAAAATCTAGTGGAAAAATTTCATTATCTTCTAACTCTATTTTTCCACGAACTTTTTGAAGCCCCCTTTGTACAACTGAAAGAGTGAATCCCAGCTAATAACACTGTATCAATTATTGGGAGTGTGCACTCAGAAGGATAAGCACTGGACTAAGTACCACAAGGTTGGCGATTTGAGCTGGGAGGGAGAAAGATGAGTCTGTTCCCTACAGCCTCAGAAACACTATACAGGGAAACACTTAACAATGTACGAACACTGTTCAACAATATCCTGTAGCAATAAAGCACAGTTTGAAAGCATGCTAATAAGAGAAACAATGTGCAAGGAGGAGGGTTTAAATGGGAATTCTATCTGTATTTTCTTACACAATTTTTCGGTAAACTTAAACTGCGCTAAATAATTGTCTATTTTGTAAAATCACAAAACAATAACAGGCATGTTGAAACCAGGCTCTCTGTCTCAAAAGTATGTTCATTTGCTCATTTAACCATTATGCTTAAAAAACACAGGAAACTCAATGTGGGAAAGCAAACATGATTTCAAAGGCTTCTCTGGCTCTTTACAAAGAAAATGTAAGAGAAGGAAAAAAATAATGATTCTTATAAAAGATTCTGTAGCTTCAGTTTCCAAATGTTTTTCATTTCAAATGCAAATAACTATTCTCTAAATTGTCCTGATATGGCGATGAGAGTTAAGGCGCTGGACTGTGAGGTCGGCAGTTCAAGCTCACTAGCCACTACTCAGAAACCCTATACAGAGTCGGAACTGACTCGACACAAAAACAACAAAGGTTTAGAATCCAAGGCAACCAAAATGTGCTCAGATAACACAGAAAACGTCAGTGTGCAGGTAGGATAAAAGGACTGAACTCACTCTCCATAGGCACCTTCTCCCAGGGTTTGCACCAAGTCCCAGTCTTCCACAAAAGGCACTGCCATGACTCCACTAAATCGTTCTGCTGGAAAAGACAGGATGCCAGAAATGAGCGGGGTTGAGTGCAAACTTCAAACATCTGTAATGCCACTGAGCTCTCTGCCGCGGTTCCCCACATAAATTCAGCTCTCGGTTTCTCCATACGTCTCCAATGCATATTTTATGCCAAGTCTTTACATCCCTACCAAGTTTCTGATATATTTATCTGTTCAAACTCAAGATTAGAATTCCACTAAATTCTATTAGGAGGATGAGGGGTGGGGCAGGGAACAAATGCTTTACGGTAAGACTGGGGTGGGGTGCGCAGAGAGGTAAGGGGGTGCTGAGATAGGCATGGAGGAAGAGAGTAAAGGTAATGAGCTAGGTACCTAGTACAGGGGTGGGGGAAGAAGTGACAACAACTACGACTTCTGCAGCTCCTCCTCCCGCCTTGGTGGTTATGTGCCGTGGAGTCGGAACCGACTCACAGAGACCCTGTACAGGGTTTCCGAGGCTGTAAATCTTTACGGGACCAGAAAACCTCATCTTTCTCCCGCGGAACAGCTGGTTGTTTCCAACTGCTGACCTTTAAAGTTCGCAGCCTGATCCGTAACCACTACGCTACCAGAGCTCCTTCCTCCTGCCTTGCTCAGCCCCAATTCCCACCCCCAAGAAGTCGCAAGGGCCAGGAGGTACTCTGGGCGGGGCCAAACGGCTACAACACGCGGAAGCAAGGGCTGGGACACTGATGCGCGGCCTACAAACCTTTGGCGTTCCCAACCAGCAGAACGACAGTCTCTCCGGTTCTCGACTCAATAAGGGCCCCTGGCACCTCACTCTGCCGCTCTCGACGGGACCCCTCCACGGAGTTTCCTATCCGTTTAGGTCTTAGATAATTTCCCTCCCTGTTCCCTCCCTCACAAATGCAGACCCCAAAGGCTTTCACCAGGCTTTTTCCTCACTACCCGCCGCTCTTTCTCACCAGACTCTCCAGTGACCACCACTACAGAAATCCAAATGCAGCGCTTTTCCCGCCAAAACTTGTTGACGTCGCTGTCGAAAACGCACGCACCGTGCCGTAAAGCAGGAGCGTGCGCGTTCCCGTGTCCTGCCGCTCTAAAGATTGGCCATTCAAACGGGCAAAGAGAGTATGCTTCCTGTCTTCCTGAATCTGTTGGGCTTGAGTTACTTTGAGTCGGAAAAAGATACTGACTAGAGAGACTTAAGAATTGCTGCCCACATCCATGCGAATTGATCCTTGGTGGTGGTTATGTGTCGTGGAGTACGTTCCTACTTTACAGCGACCCTGCACAGGGTTTCTGAGGCTGTATGGGAGCAGAAACCCTCATCTTTCTCCCACAGAAACGCTAGTAGTTTTGAACTGCTTGACCTTGAAGTTAGTAGCCCTTGGAGCCAATACGCTAGCAGAGCTCCTTGTGCTAATAAAAACGGACATCTGGTGTGTGAACCTCTGCCCACAGGCCTTCTGTTATTAAATGCCGTGGAGTCGGTACAGGATTTCTAAGGCTGTAAATCTTTACGGGAGCAGAAAGCCTCATCGTTCTCTCACAGAGAGGCTGGTAGTTTCAAACTGCTGACCTTAAGGTTCACAGCCCAATTCATAACCACTACACTACCAGAGCTCCTGTTGTTGTGTTGTGAAGTGCCGTCGAATAGGTTCTGACCCATAGCGACCCTGTATAGGGTTTCCAAGGAGCAGCTGGTGAGCTTGAACTGCCAACCTTGCAGTTCAAACAGCTTTGCAGTCTGGCGTATTAACCACAGTGCCACACCAGTACTACACCTGAGCTCCTAGATGTAGCCAATTCACCAAACCTGTCCCCTGAACCCTGCCCTCAAGATTGGTGGTTCAAACCGAGCTTTCGGACCAATGCTTATTCTACAGCGCCACACCAGACAGAACTCCATTAGGGGTGAGTTCATGAAATGTTTGACCAACTATATAACAGGCTAATTTTTAAGTTGATAATTTTGTATGGCCTGCAAATGATGGGATAAATTTTGACAGGAAAAAAAAAAAAAAAAAGGTCCTGGTGTGGCAAGGGGGACTAAATTCGATTTGAAGCGCAATGTCTGGGATTCAAACTCACCGTTGTCCCCAGGAAACACTATTCAGGGTCACTATGTGTTGTAACCAACTCTCAACAGCACTTAACAACTGCTGCTGTATATAGGCTTTCCTAGAGTAGCTGGTGAGTTTGAACTGCTGACCTTGTGATTACCAGTGCTCTTAGATGGCATCATGTCATTTTGACTCAAAGCAACCCTTTGTATTAGGGACCTTCAAAATGTATGTGGGGAAATGGAATGGAATCTTTTGTTTCACATCTTCTATTGAATCCTGCATGAATATCTGACAGTTCTCTGTTGGTGTCCAGCTGTAACCAGATTTTCATTATCCCCAGTAAACAGTGCTAGTAATGATATTGTTCGGTCATTTCCTCATTCTGTTGGATGACCTTCCTTTGGAATGGTTTAAGTAGGCAAAGAGATTTGCTTGAGAGCCAAAACCAGAAGTTCGGAAAAATAAGTTTACCTTCCTGACAGTAAACTAACCTGGAAACTTATGGTACATGCGATATCTTTTCAATTACGGTCAAAACTAGGCCGCATACACAGAGCATTACTAGTGATCAGACACTAGTCAGAGAGTAAAATATGTCACACAAAACAAGGCACATATCTGTTTTAAAGAGGCAATGTTACAGACAACCATTTCAAAATAAAGTTGCCTCAAGGTTTAATCATGACATCACAGAGTTGGGGCATCGTGTCATTTACCCCCTTCTCTAGAGTTTCCTCACTGTGCTGCAAACAAAGAATGTGAACACATAATAAAGAGGAGGACCTACACAAAACTCCATGTCTGAATGGATTTAAGTTCATTTTTTAACCTGAAACAATCAATGTAGAGTCCCTCATCTGATTATTCAGTTATGCTGGTTAGTAATTCCATACATGAGCCCTGGATACCCACAGATAAATGTAAAAACCTTCCCTAAAAGCCGAGACTGTAAATTCCAAAAAGGCAAAGTTTCCCCCCCCGCAAAAAAAGCTAAAGAGGATAGAGAGAAACCCTGTTAACTGATGGTATGTGGAGGGGATTATAATCAATGTAATGAAACAAGGTATATGAATGTTTGAATGTGAAACCGATGATGTGCCCTGAAAACTTTCACTCAATCCACAATAAAAACCTTAAATAAAAAAAAAAAAATCAATGTAGACAGATTTCAGGCAGAGTATCAGTTAAAGATAACATATGGGAGAATGAATCTATACAGTAGACTTTGTTCCCTTCTAAGACCTTACTGAAATCACAGTAATTATTTTTATTTTTCAAAGGCAATAGCCCACAAGAAAAGTATGAGAATATTTTGCCAAGTGAAGACATTAGATGAAAAGTAATTTAGGTGAAAGCTGAACCTCAAAACAGGCAATGAGAAAGCAAAAAAAAAAAAAACACCTTTATTATATCACAGAACTCCCAAAAGCTCAAGAATTGTTTTCAATAGGAAACTCTATGTGGAGGTGAAAGTAGTAAAAAAGAGGGTAGGCACTCCTATTCAATATTGGGCTGGAAGCCTTAGCAAAAGCTATACTGCAAGACAGGGAATTAAAGGCATCCAAATTGGTAAAGAGGAACTAAAACTCTATTTGCAGATGGTATGATTCTATACATAGAAAACACCAAAGACTCAGTAAAAAAGCTGCTAGACCTCATTAGAAGATTCAGCAAAGTGGCAGGATATAAGATCAACATAATAAAACAGTTGGATTCCTCTATAGTAACAATGACAGCACTGAAAAGGACATTAGGAAAGCAATACCATTTAAAATAGCCACCCAAAGGATAAAATATCTAGGAGTAAATGTAACCAGAGAAACAAAGAAAACTATAAAACACTACTACAAGATACCAAAAGAGACTTACAAAAATGGAAGAAAGTACCATGCTCCTGGATAGGAAGACATAACATTGTGAAAATGTCAATACCGCCCAAAGCAATTTACACATAAAATGCCATCCCAATCCAGACCCCAACAACATTCTCCAAAGAGATGGAAAAAACTATTACAAACTTTATATGGAAAGGAAAGAAACCCAGGATAAGCAAAACACTGCTTAAGAATTAGGTTGGAAACCTCTCACTCCCTGATTTTAAATTTATTACACTGCTACAGTGGTCATAACAGCTTGGTACTGGTATAATGAAAGATACATTGATCAATGGAACATAATCGAAAATCCAGAAATTAATCCATCCACATGCAGCCAACTGACTTTCGACAAAGTGCCTAAATATATCGCATGTGGAGGTGATAGTTTCTTCAACAGATGGAGCTGGCAGAACTGGAAAACGATATGCAAAAGATTGAAACAAGCACCTTTACCTCATGCCTTATACAAAAGCCAACTCAGCATGGATTAAAGACCTAAATGTGAATCCCAGAATTATGAAGGCCATCAATGAAAAAATAGGGACAAATGTGAGGGCTCTATTTCAGGGAATACACAGACTACCAAACATTTTGAAAACTACACAAAAGTAGACAAAATAGACAATTGGGACATACTGAAAATTAAAAACTTATGTGCATCAAAAGACTTCAACAAAAGAGTAAAAAGGGTGCAGACAATATGAAAAAACCTTTTGTAATAACACATCAGACAAGGACTCATTTCTAATATATATAGGAAACTACAACACCTCTACAAGAAAAAGACAACCCAATTTTAAAATGGGCATAGGACATGAATAGACACTTCACCAAGGAGGAAGTCCGGACAGAAAACAAACATATGAAGAAATACTCATGATCACTAACCATTGTTATTAGGTGCCATCAAGTCGGTACTGACCCATAGTGACCTTATGCACAGCAGAACGAAACACTGCCCGATCCTGGGCCAACCTCACTACTGTTTCCACACTTGAGTCCACCGATGCTGCCACTTGACCAATCCATCTCATTGGAGATCTTCCAATTTTCTCTGACCCTCCA